TGAAAACCGAGTCCCGTACAGAAAGATATGCCCCGAACAAGTTTAGTGGCAACCGAGATCATAAACCCGAAAACTGCAAGGGATGACCAACAGACAATCCTAAGAATTCACGATTCGACGAAATGTAAAAATGAATCACGTACGAGAATCCAGGCTCAAAATGAGGCATTTTGCAATAACTTTCGTTAATTGCACAATGGTCCCTCCAAGAAAGAATAATTGCAAAACTGCCTAGAATGAAAATATCTTCCAAAAGATATATTTTTTTAAAATCTCTGAAATAAATATCTTCAAAAGATATTTACGAAAAATACCCCAAAAAATATCAATGTTTCTGAATAATCCTTTCATCCACGCCCCTGCGAGAGAAAGAAATAACCGGCGAGCTTTTCTCCAAAAGTAAAGTTACGCGTTTCGAGAAAATCAACTAGAATGAAAACTTATGAAGTCAAAAATTAACTCCAAACACGAGAAGTGAGGTTATGCCAACAAAGTGACAAACGGGGAAAAGGACGAAAAGTGAATAGTGTCGAAAAAACGAAAATGTGGAAATGATGTGGTCCTTTAAGAAAGTTGTCAATACAAAGGAAAGAGTCTCAGAAAAAATTTTTGAGCACTCGAAACGACACTAAGCGACGAGAAATGAAACTCATAAAAGAAAAGTCAACGGAAAAAATTTATCCATAAAATTCTGAGAAAAAAGAAAGGAAGAAAAATGATCGGGTCATTACATGACTTGATGATCCCACATAAAAAAAAAAAAAAAAAAAAAAAAAAAAAAAAAAAAAAAAAACTTCTTACTTGTGTCCGAAACCCAGCCTAATGACAATTTAGCAATTTAGCATAGCCAATGAGGGTAACTACCCCTGGCCCTGGTCCGTTACTCTTATTTTTATTTATCCATACATATATATATATATATATATATATATATATATATATATAATTATAATTTTTATTTATAATATATTTTTAATAATAAATTTACCTTTCACCTAATTCTATTACATTTTTCTCAATTCTATTCTATTTCTAACTCTACTCTAAATAGCACTTTATCTTTTTTTCTAAATTTATTCTCTTTCCAACTCTTCCTTAAATAATAATTTACATTTTTTCTTTTTTGAGTAGATAACAGAGTTAGAAAAAACCTAAATTATTATTTAATAAAGAGTTAGAGAATAGAAAAAGAAAAAATGTAAATTATTATTTAAGGAAGAGTTGGAAAGAGAATAAATTTAGAAAAAAAGATAAAGTGCTATTTAGAGTAGAGTTGGAAATAGAATAAAATTGAGAAAAAGGTAATAGAATTAGGTGAAAGGTAAATTTATTATTAAAAATATATTATAAATAAAAATTATAATTATATATATATATGTATGGATAAATAAAAATAAGAGTAATGGACCAGGGCCAGGGGTAGTTGCCCTCATTGGCTATGCTAAATTGCTAAATTGTCATTAGGCCGGGTTTCGGACACAACTAAGAAGTTTGTTTTTTTTTTTTTTTTTTTTTTTTTTTTTTTTTTAATTCTTATGTTATATGTGGGATCATCAAGTCATGTAATGACCCGATCATTTTTCTTCCTTTCTTTTTTCTCAGAATTTTATGGATAAATTTTTTCCGTTGACTTTTCTTTTATGAGTTTCATTTCTCGTCGCTTAGTGTCGTTTCGAGTGCTCAAAATTTTTTTCTGAGACTCTTTCCTTTGTATTGACAACTTTCTTAAAGGACCACATCATTTCTACATTTTCGTTTTTTCGACACTATTCACTTTTCGTCCTTTTCCCCGTTTGTCACTTTGTTGGCATAACCTCACTTCTCGTGTTTGGAGTTGATTTTTGACTTCATAAGTTTTCATTCTAGTTGATTTCCTCGAAACGCGTAACTTTACTTTTGGAGAAAAGCTCGCCGGTTATTTCTTTCTCCCGCAGGGGCGTGGATGAAAGGATTATTTAGAAACATTGATATTTTTTGGGGTATTTTTCGTAAATATCTTTTGAAGATATTTATTTCAGAGATTTTTAAAAAATATATCTTTTGGAAGATATTTTCATTCTAGGCAGTTTTGCAATTATCCTTTCTTGGAGGGACCATTGTGCAATTAACGAAAGTTATTGCAAAATGCCTAATTTTGAGCCTGGATTCTCGTACGTGATTCATTTTCACATTTCGTCGAATCGTGAATTCTTAGGATTGTCTGTTGGTCATCCCTTGCAGTTTTCGGGTTTATAATCTCGGTTACCACTAAACTTGTTCGGGGCATATCTTTTTGTACGAGACTCGGTTTTCAATGCCGTTTCTTCCGTTATTCATTTTTTTCATTTCAATTCTTTTTCGTTCACGGTGTTTTACTGTTTGAGCACGTCTACGCATATTCTACTTTTTCGGACCCGTTCGGGGCACTTATTGGGATTTTCTATAAATAGGGGTTTAAAAAATAAAATAAAAGATTTCCTCTTCTTTTCCCATGTTTTAAACCAGCCATGGCAACCCAAGGGGCTGCCACCATTCTTTCTTCTTTTCTACCTTCTTCCCTCTTGAATTTTGCCGTAGTACCTTAGTGTTTATAGTAGGCCTTGGCGAGGCAGTCCTTTCCCCCTTATTAAAATCCCTTTTCGAGCATTTTCGAGTTCGGGTTTAGATTTTGGTAGTGCCTCAAGGGTGGAAATTGTTTCCCTCATTATCCCCGACAAAACCTTAAAGTATCGTAGGATTCGGAGCGGTTCCGTTTCGGTGGGGATTTGAGATTTCATCTCAAAGTGAGGTAGGGGATGTCTTAGGTTTATATATATGTTGTACTGATTGTTTTCTAAGCATATACAACTTGTATGCATGCTTTTGTATTAATTTTAGAATTTAATTTAATTATTTTCTATATATAAGATTTAATTCACATGGTTGTATATAACTTGGAATTAAATTGTGGCATGTTATTAAATTAGGCCATGATATGTTCATTAACATAGATTAAATTGGGAATATTTGAACAAGTATTGAAACTTTTATTTAATTATTTTCTTGAATGAAAATTTAATTCACATAGTCGTAACTAACATGAAATTAACTTGTAATGTGATATTAAAATAGGCTTTGGTATGTTCTTTAACCTACATTAATTTGAGGACATTTGGAGTTGTTTTAAAATTTAGAGAAAATTAATTAATTAGATTAATTAATTTTATTTTAAGTGTCTTATTCACTTAATTGGATTTTTGACTTAACATTGTTGATGAGCTTGGTATGTTCTATCATATATATTAAATAGAGAATATTTTGATAAGTTTTAAGAACTTTATTTATTTATTTTCTTGGCATTGAGTTTAATTTACCTAGTTGTAACTAGTGTATAATTAGCTTGTAATGTGATTTAAAATTAGGCCTTGATATGTTCATTAACATACCTACCGTAAAGAAGATAACAGAGTTAGAAAAAACCTAAATTATTATTTAATAAAGAGTTAGAATAGAAAAAGAAAAAATGTAAATTATTATTTAAGGAAGAGTTGGAAAGAGAATAAATTTAGAAAAAAAGATAAAGTGCTATTTAGAGTCGAGTTAGAAATAGAATAGAATTGAGAAAAAGGTAATAGAATTAGGTGGAAGGTAAATTTATTATTAAAAATATATAATTGAGAAAAAGGTAATAGAATTAGGTGGAAGGTAAATTTATTATTAAAAATATATAATATATTTTTAATAATAAATTTACCTTCCACCTAATTCTATTACCTTTTTCTCAATTCTATTCTATTTCTAACTCGACTCTAAATAGCACTTTATCTTTTTTTCTAAATTTATTCTCTTTCCAACTCTTCCTTAAATAATAATTTACTTTTTTTCTTTTTCTATTCTCTAACTCTTTATTAAATAATAATTTAGGTTTTTTCTAACTCTGTTATCTTCTTTCCAATTTGAGTCCGTTTGAGATTTGCTTCTCTATTGTGTTTATATGTGTTTGGTAATCATTATTCATTAGAAGCACTTTAGATGGTTGCCAAATTTAGTTCAGTAGAGCGTTTTAATGAAATTATAAGTTATAATTTGTAACTTATAAAATTGCATTTTGAATAAAGATTGAATATTTTAGGTAACTTTTTTTCATTAGACAATTTTATGTATTTTATTTTTTATAACTACAATTACACCCCTTTCTTAATAAAGTTGTTATTATCAAATACGATAACTTCATATTAATGGATATTATTGTAAAATTAGTAATTGAAGTGTTTACAAAAAAAGAAAATCACCAAATAAATTAAAAAATAATTTAATTTAGAAAAATACTTATTATAATGTATCACCAAACACCTAAAATATTTTTTACTAAATGCAATTTTTTGACTGCTCTATTCGTAAAAGGGCTTTTCTTTATCCTAATAGCAATCCCAAATGGGTTCGATTTCTTTTGATAGAGCTTTGTGCTAACTTGGTTTGTCATTAATGAGGAATCTAGTGGCTAAGTCGATTAATCTAAAAATGAACTTAAATTTTTGACTAGAATCAATTTTTTTTTTTCTTTCATATTTTTCTATTGATCTGTAACTGATATTAGTTTTGGTCAACTCTGCAATTTTCTCTACAACTTTAAACTGTCTCGTCTTATCTTTCCTCTCGTGATATGAATTTCATGATGTCGGAAATAAATTCATAGTGGATATTTACATTACATATGTAATATTCATTCTTCACGTTCATATTCTTATATTCCATTTATTTTTCAGATTTGACCGAAAAAAGAAAAAGAAAAAGAAAAAAAAAGAAATAACGACAAGTGTAAAGGAGTACAAAAACATTTGAAGTGCCATTCAAGGTAATAATTCAATTTCCATTAAATTGAAGCACTAGGCTACTAACCCCTAAACTATTCCTATATGGAGTACATGTGGAGTGTGAGAGAGCGTGTCTGAATTTCTCGCCCTCGCGCGTGTTTCTAGCTTCCGTTACAGTGGCACTGTGACGGAGGATCTTCTATTTTCACCCACGTGGCGCGATCAGAACTCTCCACGTCTCGGCATAAACAAGACAATAAGGAAGAACACAGTTCGGATCCACGAACAAGCCAGGACTTTGGCGCTAAGGAAATTCATGGAATCAAGGAGAACAAACAATTCCTTATTTATATCTTGCAGGTAACAAACAGGGAGTGTGTGTGCTCGTGTAGAGAGAGAAACTAGAGAGAGAAAGAAAGATGGTCACTGTGAGCAAATATCGCCATAAAGTAAGCTCAAAACCCCATCTTTTGATTTGATTCCCTCTCTTTCTCTCGCTTTCTTTCCTTATTCCAACTTGGAAAATTTGTCACCTACCAATTCTTTTTCATTTATTTTTGTGCTCCATTTTTTAATTTTCCCCTTAAAAAGGCGAAAATCGGCACCGAAAAGCTTCTCACAAGTCCTTTTCTCACTTTTTTGGGTATGGTTTGCTTCCACTATTAAACTGCTTTTTCTCTCGCAATTCGATTGAAAATTTATTCCAATTCTGATCTCAAAGCCCCACATTTTTCGATTGCAAATAGTGAATCAATACTAGCTTTTTACTTCTTTCGATTGCAGTGCTCTAATTTGCAGACAAAAGTTTTGCTTTTGTTTCGTAACACAGTTCTCAGTCGCGATTTGTTTCGCCTGATGTTTTATTTCGTATATCATTATCGATTGTTTGAATTGCCTGTGAATTTTTCATCTAGACCCCTTTTCTTGTCCTCAATTTCTTGTTTTTTTCTTCCTTCTAATGTTATATCTATATATTGTATCAATTGTCTCCGGTTTCGCCTAAAGATTTGATTTTCATCTTCTAGCTGTATTGATCGACCGAGCTTCGCTTACTGTGAATTAGTCATGGATTCAAAAATGGCGGATCGTTTTAGGTCGATTTCGATTGAGGAATTGCCTTGGCATTTGATTGTTGAGATTTTGACTTCAGGCCGGTTGAGTGTTGTTGATCTTATTTATTTGGAGCTGACTTCGCGAACATTTAGAGGGACTCATGGGTTGTTTCCTCTCAAATTCACTTCTTTGGTGGACTTTGCAGCATTTAAGCTATGTAACTCGCATCCCATTTATGCTCCTTTGGTTTCCAATGCTCAGAAAGAGCTTTTCAACCGGTGTGGCGGGAATTGGAAACGGGTTTTAAGGTTCTTGCAGTCGGTGGAGCAGTCTTCGGACATGGTCGAGACCTCAGCAGGCAATGTACTATTTCTTTGATGTTTTCATTTCATGTTCTATGATTCATGTGTGTTTTAGAGATGTGTTTCACTGTTTTTGGAACCCTTGTGATAATGTATTTTGAATAAGGTACTGTATTTATGTTTGTATCGCATCTGACGGAAAGGGCAGGGAGCAATTGTTTTAGCTTATAATTTTAATTTGAGTTTAATTATTTACCAGATATACTGCTACTTGATCCTCATGTGCTATAGTAACTTATTATTAAATGTATCAGCAGATGCAGATTAGGTCTGGAAGATATCACACTTTGTTGATCAACGGTTCGTCAGTGTACTCATGTGGTTCCAGTTTGTGTGGTGTTCTTGGCCATGGTCCTGAAACAACGCAATGTGTGGCATTTACCCGGATCAGTTTCCCATACTCTGCACCAGTGATCCAAGTCTCAGCTTCCCATAATCATGCCGCTTTCATCACGCAGTCTGGAGAGGTTTGTAACTGCTCATAAGTCATAATTCATCAGTATCTTGCTATTTAAAGGATCGCCAGCTAGCCTTAATTGCATTCGGGATAACCATGTAAAGATTCCAGATTTTCAGTCTTCGAGGACCATTTTATCATCTAATTGGATAGACGCTCTCATGTCATTTTACTAATTAGTATGGTTCATACTTTGTGTGGCCAACCTCACTCATAAAGGATTAAGGCAAGGATGATGATGAATTAGTATGGTTCATACATTCAGTTTTTGGTGCTTGATTTTTCTCTGTTGATGTGAGATAATATTACTGTGAACAAGTAGTAACTTAGGATTTAAAGGAAACTTCGTGTTTGGCATTTGCAAGGCGGCCCTTATTTTTTACTTGCTACATGGACCCTTAGCATATTTGTTGACCATTTGCCTTTGTGGAACACCTTCGCTGAGGAATTTGGTCAGGTCAAGAATCATTGGGTAATTTTAGACCTTTTTCCATTAGAACTTGCATGGTTATGTTTTAAACTATTTCGGGCTGTCTAATATATTAGAAAGGCAGATTCTCTTGAGTTTTAATAATCCACACTTTTGAGTTTGGACCTTGTAGATGTCTTTTCTGGATATGCTAATTGCGGCTCCAAAACCATTGGTATTAGTAATTACTATACTAGATGATAAATAGCTTTGAATATGTAGTTTTACAATTTACAGATAAATAAAACGATACGGGAGAATGAATACACACATCGCTATGATAATAATTAGATTTGAATATGTAGATGTTAAGTTGTATCCACCACTAGTTACTGAACTTTTTTTCTTTTTTTTTTTCTTTCTATAATCACAATTGTTTATCGGGATGAATACGCAGTTGGAAAAAGATGAGCCTAACCATCAAGTGCCCTTCTTCTTTTTTAGTTGAAGTATTGTGTGTTGATTTTTTCCTTGGTCAGTATTTTGTGTTGATATTTTAACTTATATGTGAAATTTAAAACCATTCATTGTTGAAGTAGCACTGATTGGAGATAAAATGAGAGAATATAAATTAAGATGAATAAAACTATTCTATGCTCGACTTATGGAGAGAAAAATCCAAATTTGTTCTCTCATTTTGCCTTGTTGTTTGCCTAATTTCCTATCATGTTGTCTCTACGAATGGGTTGGAATTTTATTGAAATAGAAACAGAAGTGTTCCTTTTCTTCTTCTTTTTTTTCCCCCTTTTTTCTTCCCTGATGCGTCTGCAAATTTGTCTTTAATTTGTTTTGCTTATGAAGGCAGCTTATCTTTACTAATTAAAGTCGTTTTCTAAGACACCCTGTAGCTAATTGTGTCATTTAATTATTGATTCAGGCTTTCACATGTGGAGATAATTCATCCTTCTGTTGTGGGCACAGAGATACAGGCCGTCCCATATTCAAACCCAGGCTGGTAGATGCATTGAAAGGAGTTGCTTGCAAGCAGGTAGAGTACATGTTTCTGTTGTTATCTGCATTTATATATACTCAAAAGAAACTGCCGTTCCTGTTCAAACACCCAACTTTTGCTCACAATTAGCTTAATAGACATATAACAGACAGGCCCCTGCCACCCTCTTCACCTAAAAAAGTACTACGTATATAAATAAATTGGGAAAGAAGTAGAGAGAAACAGTGAGATTAAATGGATGGAATCATATTAGAGAGTGACAAAATGTGATTACAATCACTCACATCTCATTATTGTCTGCGCTAACCATTTCAAGAGTTTAAGAACAAATACAATATAAATAAATCTTATACACCAAAGTCTACATTATGTTACCCTCTGCTATGTCTGATTGCTGTTTAAGTTGGGATTTCTTTTTAGTTTTTATATTTCTGAGATATAGTAATGGTATTTCATTAGAAGAAAACGTGTTTGTGGACCAGAGACCCAAGCTATATGAAATTTAGAAACCTGGGTGAAAAGAAGATGGGGTGCTTTGCTTACCGATATGCGGTTGCATAAATTTTCCATCATCTGTTAGTCCTGAAGATTTATTTGTAAGAAGAGCGGAAGTTTTCTTAATGAATTTCGACTTCATGATATGTGTTCGCCATGTTTAAGCAAAATATGCAATTTCATTTTTTTTTTTATTTTTTTATTTTGTACAATTTTTGCTTGAAATGTGCTTCTTTTGTCTTCTGACTGTTGTACCATTTCTCTTCTATAAAAACACGGAACTTGTTTCAGGTTTCTGCAGGGCTTAGTTTTACCGTGTTCCTCACAAGACAAGGCCATGTCTATACATGTGGGACCAATACACATGGCCAGCTTGGCCATGGTGACATTCTAGATAGGCCAACACCTAAAATTGTAGAACTGCTCGAGAGTGTTGGTTCCGTAGTTCACGTTGCTGCTGGTCCAACTTATACCCTAGCTGTAACTAATGATGGGACAGTCCACTCGTTTGGGTCAGGCAACTATTTCTGCCTTGGCCATGGAGAACAGCACAATGAGCTACTGCCACGTGCAATTCAGTCATTTAGAAGAAAGAATATTCATGTGGTTCGGGTCTCTGCTGGTGCTGAGCATGTGGTAGCACTTGATTCTAATGGCCTTGTGAGTCTTCTTGCTCAATTGAATCTGGCATCAGTTTTAGTTCCCCCAGTGTTTTTGAAACACTAATTGATGATTACAGGTGTATACTTGGGGCAAGGGCTACTGTGGTGCATTGGGCCACGGAGATGAGATTGATAAGACTACTCCAGAACCCTTGAGCAGCCTTAAGGGCCACCTTGCTGTTCAGGTTTGGTTCCTCTCTTACTTTTTTTTCGTATAGTTACTTCTATAGTGAACTTGACAAGTATAAAATGAGTAGATAGCTAGTTTGGCTTATGGTTGTTTTGTGAATAACAGATGTAGTTCCAAGGCTTTATGTACTCTTGCTACTCCTATCTCAAAATTTTCCTTTCCAGTTGCACATTCTTCTTCTAGCAGTTTGGACTCGTTATAACTAATTAGGCATGCTTTTTTTCAACCATTGTTGTCTCAAAACACTCTCTCTCTCTATATATATACACACACGTAATTATATATATGTATATATATATATATATATATATTTTATGTATGTTAGCATGTATGCACGCATGTACAAGATGAAACAACACCTGGTCTAGAAAGTAACTACTCCTACACCTCAGTAACTTCTTGTGCCATTTATCTTTTATCAACTCACTTACAAACGATAAAAATAAAATAAATATCTTTTATCAACTCACAATGTTAGATCATATGTTCATCCTATGCTTGTCATGCACACAAAACTTAAGTTAGTAGTAAGTCAGAGTTGTCGCATCAACATCGTGCTCTAAACTAGATCTTTATTCTAATATTTGTTATAAGAACTGTCAGAATTTGGAATGGACACTTAGCTAATTAACTTCATACATGCATAATATAGTAATAAACATATTAAAGGTATCTAATCCAACTGTCGGTTTTGCAAACTTGTGTCAATTAAGAAGTCATATTGAGGTAATATTATCTATTTTTGTGTAGTTGTAGTCAGTTTTTCATACATGTTAAATAAGCAACAGATTGTGAATGAAAAAGCATGTTGGGTATGTCGAGCACCCACCTCTGATGGGCACCGTGAACTTATGAACAACATGCAGAAGGAATCATTTGCAGTAGAAGCAAAATTAACTTTTATCCATGACAGGGGATCCAATAGATTTGCTAAATATCTGTTCATCTCGCTTCTCCTCTGTTGCTTTTCCCCATTTCTGTCTTGTTATGAGACTACTCGTTCCCGCCGATGAACATACTTTACTGTCTCTTGCAGGTTTGTGCAGGTAGGAGGAAAACTTTTGTTCTGGTGGATGATGGTTCTGTTTATGGCTTTGGGTGGATGGGATTTGGTTGTCTTGGGTTTCTGGACAGGGGAGTATCCGATAAAGTCATGAAGCCTCGAATCCTAGATAGCTTAAGAGCTCACCACATTTCTCAAGTAAGCTCAGGCCTGTACCACACTGTCGTACTCACGAACCGGGGACAAATCTTTGGGTTTGGAGATAATGAAAGAGCACAACTTGGGATTGATACACTGAGAGGATGCCTTAAGCCAACCGAAATTTTTATTCAAGAAATGGCAAGTGAAGAAGGCCTCGTATCAGAAGGTGGATGACTCTGTGAAAAATGTAATCTGTTTTGGTATGGTTTTTGTATTGCATGTGGACACTATTTAGATTATTTATTTTATTTTTTACTTTTTAACGTCAATATTTTATTAGAATTGCAAAAAGACTATCATGTTGGAAATTACTTGTGAATGTCAGATATATCTCTGTTGTACCGAAAGTTAAAATTTATCTGAAGTAATATCTTATGGGACTCTCTGGTAAACTTGGCAATATGCGACTTGGTTGAAGTTGAACTGTCAAAAAAATTTCTTTACGCTGGTTTTAGCTACTTTTTTGATCCACACTATCATGTTGCTTAAGAAGCTGTGTAGTACCATCATGTATTGCTATTGATGTGCATCAATGCAAGCCACAGCAGTAAAATCTTCAAGTGATTTTTCTTCTGCTACATGCCCTAGATTTTGTTCACTTATGTGTTTGGTAACTTCTGTAGTTGAGACGCAATTAGGAGTACTCTTTTTCTTCAATCCCAGTAGTAAGATATATTATATATTTTTTGCTTTCTCAGTTTTTTTTTTTTTTTTGGTGCCCTTATTTTTTAATCTTGCCATTATCATTTATGCACGGGTCTCGGTGAATAATTAGCAAATTGCCAAGAGGTAGTTTTCGAAGTAGAAAGTTGAGGGTTTAAGTTCCTTGGCCGGGACGGAGTGGATGTGTATGTGAGGTTCTTTCTAAAGTATAAAAAAGTAAATAATAATTTGTAGAAAATCGTCAAGCAGGAAAAATCTCTGATAGTCACACACGTAATGTGCTACCATGAACTTTGCCAAAGAGATCTGTTCTACAATGGAAGAACAAATCCCGGCTAAAAAATTAAAATAAAATGAAATTTTCATCTAGTGAGAGCATTATTAGGTAAAACTAAATAATGGAGTAATACCAGCCATCTGGATATTTTAAAGAAAAGTATTAATTAATGAACCAGTTATCCAAAGTTCACAGCTTAGATAATAAGCTGAGGGTCTGCTTGTATTTGTCATTTTTGCTAGACCTTTATGTTCGGCTGCATGGAATGAAAGCCTTAAAATTGGTGAAATTTGACAAAAGCTTAGTTCAAAGTATCATACTTTTGTACTATTTTTTTTTTCTTTTTTCTTTCAATTCCACCAATTCCAAAAACATAGCATTAAAAGAAATTTTAATGTTAATCAAGGTGTTTTAAGCACATAATAGCATCGACAATTATAAAAATAAAAAATAAAAAAATATCATGACATATCATACACTACCAAGTATATAATTAAGTTTGGCTTAGCTGTAATTACAAGTACTTTTGTTTATCAAATCAAACTTATTACAAGATCACTTGAAAGTAGCAGATGTTGACCGGCCAAAGGAAAAAAAAAAAAAAAAATGCAGCAAAGGTATATGTCTCACTCCAATACGCTCAACCACAAAATAATACAGTACTAATAATAATGCTCCTGCAAGTAAAACACACATAATACAAACACGCACAGAAGGAAGGAAATGAAGAAAAGAGATGCGAACAAACTAGTGTTCTAAAATCTTGTCCTTCAAATATTTCAAAACAGCTTTAGTTCCTCGATCCAAAATCGCCCTTCGGATGCTGCAAAGAATTATCAAAAACATATTAGGAAACGATCCTTCATTTCAAACTTAAAATGCCATTTTCAAGCAGCAAGAGAAGTATGATATAGCTCATGATAATGAATCATTTTATTTATTCTGCAATGGCAAAAATAAGTATACCAAGCATTTCTTTTAACATTTACCATCTCTTTTATCCCCGACCTTTTTCTAAAAAAATAATAATAAATAAATAAAAAGAGGAAAAAGGATATCGCCCAGGAAACAAGGGGTGGGTCACAACTCACAATTAATAAACTATCGAAATTTGTTTTGCCAGAGGAATTTATGTGCTTGAATACAGTTACGTAATGGGATGGATAATTGGATTGCTGGACTCTAATTTCCCAACAACATGGAAATAAAATTTTATAATGTAAAGAACTCTGTTTTTCGTTGACTAGAAGAAAAGGAAAAGAAAGAAAGACACAGTATACCTTCTCAGTGGATTTCCATCAAGTTTCAGTACCTGTAGGCTGGGCTCAAGCAAACCCTGCAGAACCAACTTTCCATATAAGCATGATGGAATGAATCAATGCAAAAATGGCGACTCTATTAGTCTACTGTTGTATTTCCATTTAAATAAATAAATAAACCACCAAAGAGGAAAGCATTTTTCTGTTTCATATCAATTAAGCCACCATGGGACCATTTCAATTGTACTATGAGAATGCATGCTAGGTTAACTGTAGAAGTAAAGGGCTTTGTATTCTGACCAGCTCTGGGGGAAGCACACTAATGTTATTGTCTGAAAGGTCAAGCTCCGTGAGAGAAGTAAGATTTTTGAACCCCTGCAATCCAATAATATATAGATAACAAGTTTTAGAAGCTTTACTGCAGAAAATTACCAATGAATAAAGTAGTTTTTAGATAGCACTTGAAAATAAATTTCATTGACTAAGCATACACACAAAAAGAAAACAATTGAATGGAATCAACAAAAGTAAAACATAGCACCAAATTTTCACATTGCACCATATTAATAAGCATTCTCAAGACAGATGCATATAAATACAAATAATGAGAAATAAAACACATTTACTCCAAAATCTGCTCCTAACCTAAGTAAGATGTTAAGCATGCTCATTTTCTTACAACTTTAATAAATATAAAATTTCACAATATTTTGGTAAGAACATCACTTTCTGATCTTTATGTAGGACAGTCTTAAGCAAGGAGAATTAAGGCTGCCCTGCAATCAAATATTGTGAGCTAGGAATTTCATTTTTACATGCGCACAAATGGCCAAAAATATTGAAGGTGAGATTAGGGTCTAAAGATTGGGGTTCGATATCCTAAACAGTGACCCAGGACCTAGAGTTTTGATTGTTAACTTTTTAAAAGACGATAGTACCAGACCCTGTTATAATATATGTTCTTTTGCTTTCTCACATCACAAATGGCCAAAAATATTGAAGTACAACCAATAACAGATCTCCTTAGCTTGTACACCCTCTCACTCCCCCTAAACAACATGCTCAAGAGATTGCTACATGTGCACACTTCCAAATCATTGTGAAGAAACACAACCTTGATGTCATCTTCAGATGACACGCTGGTGAAACTCTGGCAACAACTCACAAGATGTCATCAATGCCTTCAGCAGAAAAATGACACAAGATTGTGACTATATTGTAGTGACATCCAACAGCTAATATGGATAATAGATCTCCCAAAATCATTCCACAAAAGTTGTAATGGAAAAGGCTGGTGAAAGCCTTAATATCATGTAAAAAAGAAAAAAAAAAAAAAGAAAAAAAAAAAGGATAAGGTAACTGAGAGGATCAAAGTTGCATGCTGGACCTGAGTTGGGGTAAACGGGAAAAAATATATACTATAGACCACTATATGCATAATTGAATAGGTAAGATACTAACATGTCCATAATAATATTTTATTTAATTAAAATAAAAGCATCTCACAAAAGAGCACCAAAAGGGTGGCAATACAAACATGGTAACCAAAAAATATTTACATCCTAACTAGAAACAAAAAGGATTCAAACATTCTACAAATTCCAAAAATGACTGATGTAAGATTCCCCTTCCGACCCACTAAAGGACACTTAAAAAAATCACTCTTTAGTAAAACAATTGGCCTCCTTTCAGCTGCATCACATGAACAAACAAGAGCAGCATTCCAAGTCTTCTTTTCATCTTACTAATTAAACCACCTTTTAACTATGCAGGAAACCTGCGAGGCTGCAATATCTCAAACAAAGTCAACACCAAAAACCACACCTTCCTAAACCACTAAATGGACTGAATAAGAAAGGGGTCCACTGACTTCCCTGTATACACATAGTGCAAACTGAAAAGAATTTTTGTTCTCTTCGTTACTTTATCAATCGTTAGGATCTTCCTATGCACAGCCAACCCTGCAAAAACCACACCTTTGAAGGGACCACTGCCACCTAAATAGGCTTACAGAGAAAGCGTTTATCTGATGTTTCAGTGACACCTTGTGGTATGGCTTACCCTCTTTTTGACTTTGAAGCTTCCCATCTAAAATCATCCTTCCCTATTCACCATTCCATACAATATCTGATAACTTCACCACCGCCCTAACTCTGAATCGTGGACTGAACTCCAAAATCTGACATCCCAAATGACTTCATCTCCAAAGTTTCTACGGTAATCTGCCAATAAAACATCCTTGTACACCGACAAATAATTCTGGAACTGACTCGTCCAAAACCACATCCCCACACCATACGTCTATGTTCCCTTAAAAATAAAAATGTTTTTATACTCTGATTTATTTATTTTTTTTCTTGGCAGTATAACCGTGCCAACCTGATGAATATCCTTCCAAGTCATCCAAACGAAGGAGAAACAGTAAAATGAAAATGACAAGTCTATTCACCTGAATTGGCCCTTTTTATACTTTACAGACTATAGGGAATTGTCACTACATCCCAGCAAAGAAAGGGGAAACTGCACTAATACATTTTTCAGCAATTTTCTTGTGACCTAAGAAATCTCTTTGCTTGCCTTTACCAAAAGAAACAGCAGACCCAATTGTCACAACCAGGATCCTCTATTAAGTTCATTCCAGATCCTAAACCTAGGTCTTTAAGACATTCTGTGTCAAATATTCCAATGTAAAACATATGATGTATTTAACAGAATAGTTTTACCTCTGGGACCAAATGAAGCGAATTCTGGCTCAAATCAAGAACCCGCAATTGTTGTAAGCTCAATAAATCTGATGGGACTTCAGATATCTGCATCCGTCTGACCAGTCAAAATAAAAGGTGTGAGACAGATAGCACAGGTACGGAGGAAGTACCAAGTACGCAAACAAATTGATATCTTGCCAACAAACCTAAGGTAAAGCTCCTGCAACTGTGGTAAGCTAGAAAATGCTGGATGTTCTGGTAGAGAACCTGCATTACCACTTAGATCCAGAATTTGGAGCTTGGACACAGCTTGAAAGCCATCCGATGGAATCTATTGATCAGGCAAAAATAGGGTGCTTAATACAAACTAACTGCAGTATGTATAAACTGTTTAGTAAGGTATAAAAATTCTTTGAATTAACTCAAGCACTGTCCAAGTTTTGACCCCTAGTTTCTGGTTTTGTGATTTTGAGAAAAAAAACATTCCTTGAAGTATTTTAAAATGGAAGAGCCATTAACAGTGTTTCAGTTGCGTACTCTTTGATGTGCGATAGTTGATAACTTTTAAGCACTTAAAAATTCCTTTCAAACTTTGATCGCTATCAAACTGCTCTTTATATGTGCATGCCAGCCTCAGGAACAACAACAATAATAATTAAAGCCTTTTCGCAACTACTTGGAATCGGTTACATGAATCCTATGTGTATACATTTATATGCATATAAGCATCATTTGTATTGAATTTAGCATGCCTAACCGTCTTGAAATTGCTAAATGCTTAAAGCACTATGTGAGAGAGAAACAAAGATCTCTTCCAAGCAGTAGGGTTCATTTCATAGTCAACTGAAAAAATCTGTTCAGCAGTTATTTCATTACAAAATACAAATTTATTTTCACCATATTTCAGAATTGAAGACCATTTCCCTTCTATAGCATATGCTTCAAAAAAAGCTCTTAGTTTCTCATGAACACTTAGAAGAACTTCCTTTAATAGCAGGCAAGAAATACTTCTCCAGGCCTCAAACAAGTTCATTTCATGTTTACGATTGCATTGCCTTAACTTATGTGGCGCAACACAGAATCCATAATCAAATCTGATTTACCTGTCTGAGTTGATTATTGTCCAGCTTCAAACATGAAAGATTAGAAAGTGACTTTAAAATTGCATGTGGCCACTCTTTAATCTTGTTCCTAGATAAAATCAAAGCCTGCACATTTGATAAAGTATTGCAATGAGTAACAGCTTCGAGTAATCCGCCAAACTTGTTAACAGAAATGCAGAACTCCCAGAAAAATTTGGGCCCCAGCTATTGATTATTTGGATTACCAAGGACATAATTCAAGTATCAAATTTTGTTATTAACAAACATAATCTATCAAAAAGACTTCCCACAGGAAGGTCAGTAGACATGAGTACATGATACCATCATATAAAGGGTTTACAATAAAAGAAGTTTTGTCTTACATCAATCAAATTAGTTTCTAGGGAAAAAGCAAGGCACACGGGCTCAACAATCTTATTTAATCCAACAATGAATCACCCCATTAGATGCAGCCCAGAAAATACATGAAACAGGGAACTTCTGAACAGTAGAAAATTCCACAAAAATATCTGCTCGACAGATGGTCAGATTAGCAATAAGGCATACTTTTTTTTATAATAGAAAATATAAGGGCGGTCCATGAATATATTTGTAACAACTGAAATAAATGTTCATACACGTATTTGGATTTTCACTCGGATGGTTGGACCTGAAACAACCAACTGGACTTCCATATTACATTTGTTTACATGCTAAGTTTCGCCTCTATTGCAGAACAATGACCACCGTTTTCTCTAGTACCCAAAAAAGAGTTGAAACACTACAGAATATAAAACAAAAAATTTGTTTCCAATCAAGGAATAAATTACGTCATCCTTATTAACCTCTGGTTTCATTTTAATTGAGGAAAAGTTGGTAATAGAACTTTTACCTCAAGGGAAACACATGACAATAGTTCAACAGGTAGCTCTTCAATTGAATTCCTAGAAAGATCAACTTTTGTGATTTCAGTTGACTCCCACACTTCTGATGGGACAGCATTCAAACCCATCCCTCCTAAAGAAAGTTCCTGAAAAATAAAAAATGCATGAGATTTCCAAAATAAATAAATAAATAAAAACTGGATAGCAGACTGAAAAGTTGATTTAAAGTTGAAACAGAAGAAAATGATGTGAAGAGAGGGTTGCCGTATAATGAACGACAAGGCATTATACTTCAAAGCACATCAAAGCCTCGTTGCCTTGACATTCAGTAACCATTTTGTGAAAATTCCATCAAAGACTCATTCAGCCTCATTGCCTCGACATTCAGTAACCAAGGTGGCCCAGTTTCGGCCCATCCCCTTGATACACCAGTGCCATCATTGGGGACAATACTGTGTTTAACAAGGGAGTGAATGAATCTTCACTTAAGGGTCAGTTGATTTGAGGATGGTACTGAAGAGATATATTGCAGGATTAGAAAATAGTGTAAAAAATGCAAATACTCAACATATTGTGTGAAGTACATGTATTTATGCAAGAATGGCTACAGTTGACAGAGATTGTGTACTTCCCCTTCCCCTTTTTGGGAGTAAATTGAGATTGTGTACATTTTTAAAGGTCCCATGCATTTTGTTTGAGGTAAAAAAAAAATTCTTTTCTTTTTGTGCTTTTACTTGAATATTTGCAAAAGCCTAATAAAAAGTTTTCAAACCCTCAAACCCACTGAATTGAATGAAGCTTTAAACTAAACCACTGATAAGAAACGATATTTCCCAGTTCTGGTCCCACAACAGAAGGGTATTGAGGGAAGACTCGGGACAGACCCTGACCTTTAATATTTCACAAAGTGGTTGCTCTAAGGCTCAAACTTGCAATAGTGGTACTGATGCTCAAGTGTTTTGTCACTGAACCAGGCAATGGCCCAGATACATCATGGACAATTACTGCCATAATTTGAATATAAACAATACTCTCCATACATCTTTTGAGGAACTTTTTTGCTATACTCACAAAAAAAAATTCCATTGATAATATGACTGCATAATTTGAGTTACAGTTAAGATTGAATTTTCATTAATTGAGAAAAAAAAAAAAAAAAAAAAAAAAAAAGGGTAATTGCTAAAATTATTGAACACTAGGGCCAATCTCTTGGATAATGATAAGTTTATTTAGAAAATTTGAGGAAAAATGATAAAATGCCATTTTTCAGGGACAATCTCTTCATACTCACAGATCATTCTTATGTAAACAAAAACTTTCTACATGCAAAAATGCTTCAAGAAGAGGAAAAAGAAGAGAGACGATACAAAGTACAGTGAGCTATAAATAAATACCTTTGAAGTGAGGGACAATCGAGATGCCTTAGCAATTACATCCTCTTTTATTGTGGCAGTACCTCCAGAGTCTACATAAGAAAATTTTATTTTTTAAGACAAAGGTAAAATTAACAAGAACTATAAATTATAAATATGGGACTATGATATTGCAAAAATTCCTGCTTGACGCTTTAAAAGCATAGGTCCAAATACAAGTACTAAGAACTGAAATACCTTCATCAGTTGGGAGTCTACTTCGAAGAAACTTCAATAGAGCAGTTGTAGGTCCAGATACCAATGAGCTGAGACAGCACAAAAGTTAGTTGTGTAAACTCTTAAAACCAATGTAAGCACTGAATTGTTAAAAAAACCAAGGAAATAATTCAAACCTTCGAAGTGTTCGCAAAGGATTGCCAGTCAGCAAAAGTTTTCGCAAAGTTGTCATCATGCCTAGGTGATGATTTGTAGCATCATATACATATTAAATCGTATAAATATTATAAGGAAAGCAATATCAATGGAACACACAAAATAAGTCCTTTGTAAGATGGTTACTATAATTGGCATAAAAGTATTCCAGGTGCATTAGATGGATGAAAAGGAACCACAAAAAGTACGGATGGAGAAAGATGATGATGATGACAGTGACAATAACCATGAAATCCAATTACAGGACACTTTGTCCAATTAAGTTAATGAATTTTTTTTTTTTTGGGGGGGGGGGGGGGGGGGGGGGGGGGGGGGGGTGGGGTGGGGGTGGTGTTTGTGTGCTAAAAGAAGGAAAAAGTAGCAATTTTTTGTTAAAAGTTACAGCAATGTCATTTGTAAGAACTTGTTTTCTTCTCATATTTTCAGATCGGAAGTGATCTTCTCTGCACTCTCTTGAAAGGTGCACACTACTTAATGTTGAACCAAGTGCTAGACATAGAAAAGGCGGAATATAGCACGCAATCGCTAGGTAATGGTTTCCCTTCTCACTTTCATACAAGTATAGATTTCCTCCTTAAAAAATTGACAGGAATGCTTTCATTTGTAAAATTTCATGTGCTTAACAAAGAACGTTGTACATATTACTTGATTCATCAAGTACCAGTTTCCCTTTCGAATTGTCAGAATAGCATAAGAGCGTCTCACTCAAGTGAGAGGTGTACTTGAGCTTGTAACGACAAGTACTAAACCGACAAATTGACAGATAGCATGCATTTTTCAACCAACAACTTTTTCCGGATGGCGTTGATCTTCACATTGCTCGAGGCAGTGCTTTACTTTAAGGTGCTTTACTTTAAGTTGCATCGACTTAAATGCTAAACAATGTTACTTTAAGTTGCATCGACTTAAATGCTAAACAATGAAGAGAACAAATGAATAAGTTGAGTATGCACATACTGAAGATCTCTTGATCAGTTGATCGGACACTCATTTCCCTTTCAGATTGATTGCATCTCAGTCAGATAAACAACTTGGGTTTAGATCCAACACCATACTGTCCCCCTCCCATTTTCTTCCAAACAGCCAAAATATACAACTTCTCATTCCTTGGTTTAGAACATATGCTAATTTGCTTGGGACTACTTTGGCATGGGAATTTACCAAGGATGGACAAATCAAGTGGAATGGTAACTCCAATTTTTTTCTTCCCCTAATTGTGTAAACAGCCAGAAGAGAGTGATAAAAAGCGCAACGTGGTTTTGTGCAATCATTCATTACTATGTGAATTAGGCGGGAGTGCATTGTTACTTAATTGTGTCTCAGTGTGTATATGCCTCATAAAGCACATCCAAACTAAACTAATTCCACTTACTATGAAAAAGAATGCTAACCTTACCGATCTCAGAAGGCAAGCCAGATAATGAATTATTTGATAAATCCAGAACGGAAAGACGCAATTTGCACGCTTCCACCGGATACTCCTTCAACTGCATGGATTATATAATAATTAGAGGCAACATCACGATTTAATGTGACTCCCAGTAAAGTTTTATTTGGTTGGAAGTCCAAAGACCATGTCAAGAAATGGGTTTCACATGACAGATCAAAACAATTCATTATCAAGCCCATTTGTCACAACAAACTAATGTAAAAAGAACGCATTCTTCAAGAATCATACTGTAGATTTCATAGAGGAGCCGAACAAAAATATCTTCATTTCACCTGGTTTGAGTGAAGATCTAATGTCCCTAAGCGAGGAAGCGCTCCTAATTCTGCTGGTAATGAAGACAGCATGTTGTTTCTGTAAATTGAAGAAATAAAAATATTAGATGAATGTCAAAGATGTCAAAAGATAAAATAATTGAAACTCTTTGTCCTCTGGGATGTGGGAAACCCTAATGATCTAATTGCATCTCACAAAATGAAAAAGAAAATGACCCCATGTAAAACTCCACAAGGGAAGAACAACCCATTATAGATGACGGGATTGATGAAATTCCTGCAGCATTCATACACACAGATAACAAATCAGGAGTTGAAAATAAATGAAATAAAATAATAAAATAATGAGGAAACATTAGTTATTAAGGAAAATTTTCAATCAGAGCTTTAAGCGCTCGCATGCGAATAAATTTGTGCTGATTATAAGAAAATTCACTCACTGTTCTGATGAAGGTCAAGACGAATGAGACGTGAAAGGCATCCAATGGTCTCCGGTATACCACTCAGCAAGTTTTTTGCTGAAAATTTGGCAAGTGTAAATGCAGTTTTAGAATATCTATTACTTTACTCCAAATGGAATGAAAAGTGAGACAAAATGACCAATTCAATAGCATGAATTCGGATATTACATGCATTGAGTTCTGTAAGCATGGTACATGATGCAATTGTATTTCCAGATAACACTGTTAGCTTGTTTCCCTGGCAAGGATAAAAGATACATTAACACACTTAAACCCAAGCATCTCCATCATGATCTCTTAAGGTGAAAAAACCTAAAGATCACCAAATATACAAATAAGAAAAGTTCCTGATACCTCCACATCCAGCTTTGTCAACTTTGAACAGTGCACTAGATCTTCAGGCAAGCTGGTTATAGAATTGTTCGATGCCTGATATAAATTTATCATAAATCCCTTATAGAGGCTTAAGCATCTCAAACTAAGTGATATGCCACCAATATGAGTAAGAAAGTGTCCAAGTTTAACAGTTCATATAATGGCACCAAAACTGCAAAGGAAATGGGACCACCTACTCAAAATATTCTATATTGGAGATCACAAATGCTAAAAATTAGACAATCTCATTGATCAATGATAACCAACCGTATATGACTCCATGTTGTGCATCCTGACACGCACTCACAAGCATAAAAATTAGACGGTCAGACCTACATCAGTAGGTTTGAAAGCCAAACAGAAACCCATTTAATTTAAGCAGGATCAGGCTAGTAGGCAGGTACAGATAAAAAAATTGACAAAATATCTTGCCTAAAAAAGACACAAATTATATTACAAAATTACTTATCGCCTGGATTTGAGATATAAATTGAATTACCAAATAATAATATGTTCTATATGGAACAATATTAATTGCCATTAGTTAATACTGATACATCAATAGATTACTAATACAATGGCCAAACACATTGCAACTAAAAAAAAAAAATTCACTATGCAAATAAATGTGCAGAAATATTGCAACTCAAAACCACACAAAGTTTGAAATATATAACCAACACATGCCAAAATCAAGCAAGTTGACAGATTGGCTCAAACTTTCAAAGTTTGGTCATGATCATAAGGCATTACCTTGAGCTCTGATAATTCTAAACATCTTCCAAGGGAGCTTGGGAGATCCTTTAATCGATTATTTGAACAATCAAACCTGAAATAATAGCATTAATACAGAACAATTCAACCATGAATGGCAAACAAATTTAATTCATATGTTCATGAGCAGGCATAATGAAAACAAACATGGCATTAGGATTACTATTCCATTTATGCATACATACAAAACCCATTTTCTTAATGCAGATCCTTATAGACCAAGAACAGAAAAACTAGTAAAGAATCATACTTGACCAAAGAAGTTGCTGATCCAACTTCTTCAGGTATATTGAGTATTAGGTTGAAGGACACATCTAATGATTTTAACATCTGGAGCCTGTCAAATGAAAATAAAAGTATCAACACATTGTGCACTTGTAAGAGAGAGAGAGAGAGATCACAACAGAAAACAAGAAAAATTCAAACAGATTAATGCCTAAACAGGTTCTAGTGACATACTCTCCTATGGCAGCTGGAAGGTGAGAAAGCTTGTTGTGGCTAATATTCAGAACAGATAATAGAGGTAAATTTTTTACGTCTTCTTTTAACGATTCAATATTGTTATGAGCCAAGATGAGCTTCTGCAGCTCCACGGCCTACATATGTGCAATGAAACGCATGGTTAGAGGTATGGATAACTCAGGAAAGCAAATTTATCGACACAATGGTGCGAGAAGCTTATATATCATAAAATAGTTAAATAAGAAGTGTGAATAATACCTCCCACCAATTTTCACCCTCCCCAACTGCATCCAAACTTTTGTATACCTCCTCGGGCACTTCCCTGAAATAAACTTTAAAGTATAAGATATAGAAGCAAAGAAATAAAATTCAACATGTGCCCGTGTTTGGTTGCAATTCAGAAAATACACCAAAAGAAAGCAATTGATGGATTCTACAAATTAGTGCTAAGAGGGATTGAATCTTAATGAGTGTAATTATTCTCCTTCTTGGACATGGTAAACAAAATTCATAGACCTGAAACTGTTAAGTGCCATTTACACAAATCACAAGTACCGGATTATCTAATTGTGCAACTGAGATGTGCATGAAAGGGTAAAAGATATATCAATATGAAAACACTAGTGGTTCTGAGCCCATTGACTCATGTATAAATGTGAATGGGAAAAATGCATACAGCTGGACCACCCACCACCATAAAACATATACCAATTGCGCATATTTTATATTGATAATTTCAAGTAATTTTTTTCATTAGCATGAGAAATTTAACTCTTAACAAATGTATATATATGTGTGTGAGCTTCTCATCTGCTTAACTCAAGAAAATTTTCCAAATACTTGGGGTCAACATAAATAATTGCCATGCCCATTGCCCCCAAACACACACACACATGCACAGACATGCAAGGAGAGGTAGCATTTACAAGCAAGTTTTCCGATATCTATCAACAACAATGGACATAATTTTATTCAATGGTGAAAAAAAAATATTTACTTTTGGAGTTAAAAATTCAATGGAGTAAAAAAAAAACACAACACTTTTGGAGTTTAAAAAGTTGCTAATCTGATTTGGTGTATGCGAATCCTAAACAATTAAGAAATAAATAAGAAAAAAGTAAATTTGGGAAGGGAAGGTTTGCAAGGTTGATGAATAGTCGCTCAATCAACTCATACATTATAAATTTAACTAAGAATGCAAATTAATTTTTCTTAATTTTGGACAGTTATCAAGAGCTTCTAACAATACAATAAGTTTAAAGTTTGTCCCTTTCTTACGATTTTGAAATCAAAACCATTAAAATGAATCAAAATAAAACAAATTGTAGAAAGATTAAACAAGATTACATGCCGAAATATAAAAAATCTTCACACAATATATATATATATATATATATATATATATATATATATATATATATAAAAACAAATAAAAGGATATTTACATAAATCGAGAAGCTAATGATACAAATGGAGTAACATAAACGATAGTAACAGGGCAATTGGCATGGTTGAGAAATAAGGGGAGTGACCTGAGAGAGCGATCTGATAGGTTGAGAGAACCGGAGGTTCTTGCAGCTTTCAGCACCCGATCCATCGACTTTTATTTCGTTGGTGTAGCGGGAAAAAGGAGATAAGAGTTGAGTTAGCTTACAGATCTCTTCTCTCATCGATCTAATGTCCGCTTGGGCAAGCAAATGCGGTGCGTTGAGACGACAGATCAGATTTTGACATTGGACCTGACCTGATCAATAAAGGGAACAGAGTACGCATAAATGGCGAAGGGGAGCAGTTATCGGGAGCTTAGGTGGTAGGAAAAATAAAATAAAATAAAAAAAAAAAAAAAAAAAAATCTGAATAAACCTTCTACATTTATTTGCAGGTCGAGTTCTAATATGAAAGTTTTACATTTATTGCATGTGGAGTTTTAATTAGAAGTAATCTATTTATTTATTTATTTTTATTTTTTTGCAAATTTTTTGAAGTAATCACCCTGATGTAAAAATATAACTTGGTGTCACATGAACTTTATTAATTACAACAAGAGGAATGATATTTAAGGGCGTGTTTGCAACGTATTTTTGTTTTGCATTTTTATTCTAACCTGAAAACATAAGAGGTGTGTTCAATACTATTCAAAAGCATGTTTTAGTAACATTTTATTTGTTGTAAGATTTTTTAAAACAAAAATATGTAAAATATGTTTTGTAAAAAAGTGTTGCTGGTTTGAAAATAAAATGACTAATCATTTAAGAGTTTTTTTTTTTTTTCCTTTTTGGGTACAGTTTATCGCTATGGTAGTTTTGCTATAGTGCAAAAGCAATCGGAAACACCAATTTGGTGCTTTTAGTTTTGTGCTTTTTTTCGAAAACGTTTTGGCACTATTCAAATTGCAACAACGTTATAAGACGCGTTTATGTAATTTTTTTTTTAATTATTAGAGAATGTTATTTTGTTAATTTAATTTATTTGTTATTAAGAGAGATATTTTAGAGAATTCAATTTGAAATTTATTTCATTCTAAATTTTAAATTGGTCCAACTAAACAGTACTATAATGGTTATTATCATTTCATTCTTACACATTTTATATTTACAACCAAATAATATGATGAGAATAACCATTCAATTCCATTCTCATTCTCATTCTATTCCCACTTGCATTTTATTTCATTCCTGCACACCAAACTTTGCATTAATCCATTCAAAATTAAATGTTGAATTGAGTTATCAAACAACATCCTAATCTTCCACCGGATAAAAATATAACTTGGTGTGTTAACTTGAACTTAAAAAATAAAACACAAGAGGCCGGAATCATATTTAAGGGTGTGTTTGCCAACATCCTTTTGTTTTGTGCTTTTGTTTTATTTTTCTCTTTTGGGTACTATTCATCACTACAGTGTTTTTGCTATAATGCTAAAGCAATTGGAAACACTAATTTGGTTTTTTCGATTTTGTCATCTTTTTGGAAAACGTTTTGGCACTATTTAAATCCGTGCAAACATTATCAGACAGGTTTATGTGTTTTGCTTTGCTATAACACATTATTCAAAGCAAAAAACATGAAACAAAAGTGGTTATCAAACATAGCCTAAGTGACCCATACTACCATGAGACATCTTAAAGTGACCCATACTAGAGACTCAATTTAATGCATATAAATGTTATAAGTTATTATTCACTTTGAATTTTTTTTTTCTTTCTAATCAATTAGGGTTGAGTTTGGGTTGAAAATTTTAATCTGAATCTAATTAATGTTGTACTTAGGCCCAAACTCAATTAAAGTTCAGTCCAATTTTTAAGTGTTGACAATTATTTTTATAATTAGGGTTAAGTTGGGTTTAAAAAATCATTTAACCTAAATTTAATTAGGGTTGAGGTGCCAACAACCCTAGATGAACTTAAACTTGAACTTGAACCTAAATTTTATTTTATTTTATTTTTTATAATCTTTTAAAAATATACTATATATATTCAATTATTATTTTTCCTATGCTATATAATTTCAATGATTTCAATTGTGAAAAAGTTAAGATTGTTCATCTTTTAGTCTTTATATTAATTATGCTTGGAATAATAAAATATCAGCAAGTTTCATAAAGCTAGTGTGATACAGAATGTTTATACAATAAAAGTCAAGAGTGTAATCCGAATTATAATCCAAAATATCAGTCTAAGTTGTAAATTCGAATTCAACCTAAGTTAAAAAAAAATTAAGAATAGAATAGACTCGAGTTAGAATTAACAATTTTGTCTGTTGAATTGGGTGAAGTTGTACCTCAGACCTGCCAACCCACACAAGTCACACACCAAAAGAAAAATGAAAATGAATTGAATCAAAATTTACATATTTGGTTTAATTATCTAATTTTTTTGAACAATTACATAACATAATAAACAACTTTGTAGGACCCACTATAAAGTAAATTATTTTTCTTATTATTTTTTTTAATATAACAAAAAATATATAGTCTAATAATATTATGCCAGGTTAGTGCAGAAGAATTTAAAGAGACAAGCATATATATTTATTGAATCTAAAGAGACAAGTATAATTATTAGGAAAGAATCTTCCATTCACAACTATTGTTAGAATCTCTCTCGGGCTAATGTAAGAATTGGAATAGGTGTCATTTTATAATATTAAAAAAAATTAAATAAAAAAAGAAAAATAAGTCACTTAAATAATCTCACATTCACAACTAATGTTCGAATCTCTCTCGGGCTAATGTTAGAATTGGAATAGGTGTCATTTTGTAATATTAAAAAAGAAAAAGAAAAAGAAAAATAAGTCACTTAAATATCTTCCCGTTATAATATTAATAAGTTATTTTAATACCGTTGAGTAATACGGAGTATTATATAACACATCAGAAGAACCGAGATTCCTTCAAAAGACCGACATATGCAAGTATTATCCTATTGGTTTTTTTTTTTTAGCTATCTAGTATTATAGAATTATTAGGATAGTTATATAAATGCATACTTTTAAAAAATTAGCTCTCATAATTTAGAAATAGTTTTAGGTGGTTGAGTACAAGTACAAGTACAAGTACAAGTGTGAGAGACTAAGTACAACATAACACAAATACCATCCAATAAGAATTCTAGGTTACTTAACTTGTAAGAGGATTGTAACAGGACAAGAAGTTGTAACAGGACAAGAAGTTGTGTAATTAAGCATTTATTTAACTTTATTTTTTATTATTTTTTCTTTGGATGATAAAGTAAACACATATTTTTTTGCACACGCCGGAACTCGAACCCCTCCTCTCTTCTTTGAAGTTGGAGAGGTTATATCATTGGGCGAGAAATTAGCTAATTATATAATTATATAGTTTATCCAAGTTATCTAATTATAGCTAGAGTTTATCCAAGTTATCTGATTAAAAGAAATTAAGGTGAGTTGTAGAAGGAGTAGGCTTTGTCTGAAGTCTATATAAACCAGTGTATGTACGTAGTCATCTCTTTCCTGCGTACAACAAATCTCAATTTGATTTTCGTGTTTAGATTATTTTTCTCTGTTGCATTTTAGTTGCCAGCAATGGTGGGTGGTGGAGTTACTGCTAATGGTGATCCTAATATGGCGAAGGCATATCCCGGTAGAGTCACACGGCATGTCACTATGGCTTGTATCTCTGCAGCATCCGGTGGGCTAATGTTTGGATATGACATTGGCATATCCGGTACGTAATTAATCTAGATTTCTTCATCTTCATCATTCTTTTTTTCGTTAATTTATGTATTTTTTTTTTTTTTTTTTTTTTTTAATTAATTTTACATTTATGTAGGTGGAGTGACATCAATGCCTGCCTTTTTGAACAAATTCTTTCCCGATGTTTATCGCAAGGAAGAGCTCGATCATTCGGTCAATCAGTACTGCAAATTCGACAGTGAGACATTGACAATGTTTACTTCGTCCTTATACTTGGCCGCTCTTCTGGCGTCTTTCTTCGCATCGGGGGTCACCAGAAAGTTTGGCCGCAAAAGTTCAATAGTCTCCAGCGCTGTTATCTTCTTCGTGGGTGCTCTTTTTAATGCTCTCGCGGTAAAACTGTGGATGCTTATTGTCGGACGTATTTTATTGGGTTTTGGAGTTGGTTTTAGCACTCAGGTATATATTTATTTTTATTTATTTATTTATTTTTCTGAAGACCTAGATTCAATTTAATTCTTGGATTAGTTTTGTAGAGCAAATCTTTAAGTAGTTTTTATTTTTTTTATAGTCACCAATCACAACAGGAGAGATTTGTTGACACTTCCGCCTTTTGTTTGAATTATTAATTCCATCTATTATTACAATTGGTAATATATATATGTATATATACATACATATATATCACTCTAATTTATCCTACTTTTCTTTCTCGTATATATCTGAATAAATATTGGTTAAATTTAATGGATATATTTATAATTAATTAGGTCCTAATTAATGTTTTTACTGCATAACCCTAGCGTTTTGGAGGGAAACTAACCACATTAATTGATCAAATTTGAAGTAGTATTATAGAACATGCATGCCTTTATTAATTTGTACGTCTACATATATATATATATATTTGTTGTTTAAAGTTGATGTTGATGAAGCAATATTTTATGCATGCAGTCTGTGCCAATGTACCTCTCAGAAATGGCTCCATACAAACGCCGTGGTCTATTCAACTCATTGTTCCAGTTTAGCATCACAATTGGTATACTGATAGCCAATTTGGTTAATTTCGTCACCGCAAACATGAAAAACGGCCAGGGATGGCGCTACAGCTTGGGTGGTGCCGGAGTCATAGCTCTGATCATCGGAATCTCTGCCATTTTCAATCCCGAGACACCCAATTCTCTGATTGAGAGAGGAGACTACGAGGAGGCTAGAAGGAAGCTCCAACAGATCCGGGGAGAGGATCTCGACGTTCAGGCCGAGTACAATGACTTAGTGGCGGCTAGTCGTGCATCACAAGAAGTGAAGCACCCATGGCGCAACCTCCTAACAACCAGAAAATATAGACCCCAACTCATCTTGTCCATTCTCATCCCATTTTTCCAGCAACTCACGGGCATCAATGTCGTTATGTTCTACGCCCCGGTGCTCTTCAAAACCATTGGCTTCGGAAGTAACGCCTCACTCTTCTCGTCCGTAGTTACCGGGGGTTTCAATGTGCTCGCCACTGTTGTTGCTATTTTTGCCGTTGATAAATGGGGCAGGAGAGCTCTGTTTTTGGAGGGTGGTATACAAATGTTCATTTTTCAGGTACAGTTAATTAGAACCATATGGTCCATACAGAGTATTAATTATTATATAGTATAGTAATGATTATATAATAATAATATTTAATAATATCCATTAATGTATGCAGATTGCAGTGGCCGCTCTCATTGGGAACAAATTTGGGATGTCCGGTGTGGTGACCGACTTACCACGGTGGTATGCTTGTATTGTGGTAACGTGCATCGTCTTTTTCGTTGCTGGTTTTGCTTGGTCTTGGGGACCATTAGGATGGCTGGTACCCAGTGAAATTTTGCCACTAGAGATTCGTTCATCGGGACAAAGTATAGTGGTTTCTGTCAACATGTTGTTCACCTTCTTGATTGCTCAAATCTTCCTCATGATGCTTTGTGCCTTCAAGTACTGGTTATTCGTCTTCTTTGCTTGTTTCGTGGCCATCATGACCCTATTCGTTTATTTTTTTGTGCCGGAGACGAAGAACATACCCATCGAGGAAGTGTCACAAGTGTGGGAAAAACATTGGTACTGGAAAAGATTTGTGGACCACCAAGCTGTGGAAACTGAGTTGGCTGTCCAGAAGACAAAGGAGTCTGCTGTAGAGGCTGAGTTGGATAGCCAGAAGAGAAAAGAGTCTGCATAGTAGTCTTAGATTTTGATAGGCTAGTCTAGGATGGTTCTTGTACCACTTTGGGAATTTTTAGATTTTTTCAGTATTTCCTTATTGGTAGATTCGATTTATAAGTTTATAATAAAGTTATTTGGATTGCATATATGTTATTTTATTTTATTTGATTTGATTGTTCATGTCATGGTTGGTTGGTTGTCATATTTTTTTCACTAAAATATAGTCCTGCGCGCCATACAGATTGTAGCGGTTTTGATGGTTACTGGTCCTGTATCTAGGTATGGTTAATTTGTTTGGCGTGGAGAGTAGGCTTTCAGATCCCTAGATCGGGGACTTTATTTGCTCATGCAAGGATGCATTGTTACTACAGTATTTTTTTATGGGTTAAAATTATAAAATTCCTAATTTTTTACGGGTTAAAATCATAAAATTCCCGCAACTTTTAAATTTTGATCATAAAATTTCAATCTATTTTAAAAAATTCCTAAACTTTTAAAAAGTGATTACATTGTCCCAATATTTGTACCCAACCCGTTAATCGGGTCATGAAATGATACATTTAACCTTATTATTTAATATTAAATTAAAAACTAAATTATTTTTAAAAATAACAAAAATATCCTTTAAAATTACAAAAAATTATATTTTAGAGAGAAAGGGGTGAGAGTTATAGAGAGAGAGGGAACATAATTTTTATAATTTTAAAGGGTATTTTTGTAATTTTTTAAAAAATAATTTTTAGTTTTTAATTTAACATTAAATAGTAAGGTTAGATTTGTCATTTTATAGCCCTGTTAATGGGTCGGTCACAGACAATGTGATCATTTTTTTAAAGGGTTGGGATTTTTTGAAACATATTGAGGTTTTATTCATTTTTTAAAGTGTTGGTGTTTTCTGAAACAGGTTGAGGTTTAATGATCATAATTTGAAAGTAGTGGGGGTTTTATGATTTTAGCCCATTTTTATTGGTATAGCAAGGCAGTCAGGAGAGATTATTCCACTTCACATCAAAACTCGTAACATCAAACTCGTAAATTACGAGTGACTGTGAACAACAAAAATATAAAATATCTATAGGATTTTTTTTTTTTGAATATTATAAAAAACTAGAGTTAAGTTGCCAACAATTACGATATTTACAAGAAAGAGTCATCCATAGACCTCACGAGAAAAAGTATCCATAGGGTAAGTGTAATGGGTGAGTGCTTCGCGATCTGACCCAAAAGTTTAAGTTATTAGGTAGGCTAACATCCAGCCTGTATATACCCGATCACTCTCACATCTGGATCTAATGTGGGACAAACTCTCTCACTTGTTACATTCTTCTTCACTCGAACTCGCGTTCTCGTTGAGGGTTGGCCACCCTGTCTACCCGGACGCTTGGCGTGACACCGAATTAAGGACTGAATTTGGCTCTAATACCAATTGTAACGAGTGAGTGCTTTGCAATCCAACCCAAAAGTTTAAGGCAAACATGGAGTGTGTCGCAGTATGCATTCCAAATTGCACTAAAAAGTGTATAGTATGACCAAGTTTGAATTTATAGAATGCTACTACTACTACTAACTATTAATATAGCTAGAGTGAGTAGGGATCGTCTCAAGAGATGTGAACGGTATTTTTGTGGAAACAATGTTGGATTAGTAGGTCGAGTGATCAAAAGATGGTTTGTTGGTTGAATTAAACTACAATTTAAACTAAACAAATACAATATAAAATAACTAAAATAAGTAAGGTGTAGAGAATGGGAGAGAGGAGTCTTAGGTCATAGAGTTCACCACTAAGTATTACTTTCCTAGACATTCAATATTTGATGGATTATGGAGAATATGTGTTGTAAATGAAAGTGTGTGCCATTGATTGAAATATTAGCATGGATGGCTAAGTAAGCGTACATTGTCTAGTTAATCTAGTGAATAGTACAACATATCAAATTAAGCCATTAATCATTCCATAAGCCCACAATCAATGCATACTTAACAAACTAGAGAAATATACAACTTGCATTCATAAGCATGGAACATCAAACAATAAGAATGGATTGTTCACCTATCTAAGAAAGTAAAGCAACTACACTATAACTAGGCTAGTGACATGAAAATTAAGTTAATTAAACTAAGGAGGCGGCACAATCCATCAAGAAATAAGTATGAACCATCAAAGTAACTACAAGAGTATTCCATTTAAGCACTATGTCTTGACCATCACTAGATTCATAATATCAACACACATAGACATGCATCAATGTCACAAAATCTAGAGATAAACACATGAACATCCATTCTAACATACATAGACATATGAATAGAATTAAATGATCAATTGAAAGTATTAAACTACACAAATCATTGTAGAAACAAGATTTATATATATCAAATGTCAAGACAAGAAATACAACACTAATCCTCATTAATTACAAAACATTAAAGTGTAGGAGGCATGCTTAGGGCTAACTCTAGCCCAAGAGAATGGTTTAGCCACCCATTGATGTTGTCATCCAACCCTTAAGGGCTATCTCCATGGTAGAGCTCATCTTCCTCCTCTTGTGTTCTTGGTAGAAACTTTAGATGAGAGGAAGAACTTTCCCAAATTGTATAATTTCTCTCTCTAATCTCTAACCAAGCCTCTCTAACTAACCAACCTCTTTATTCAAAAATAGCCAAAATCCTTATATAGGTAGCTCAAATATTACACCTAATGGTCAGACCTCGTGCAATAGGACCTCCAAATGATTGCACCACGAACACATATTTATTTTGGCTTAAAATCAACTTTTCACGCAACTTGAGGCAATTCGATTGATCACGAGGTTGCTTGGATCGATCGAAACTTGGTGGCGCACTTTTTGGATAATGACAAGGCTGAGATATTTTTAGGAAAAGGACAAAAGTTTAGGTAATGATAAGATTAAAGGGGTTCGATTGATCGAAAGAAATGTTGGATTGATCGAACAAGATATTTTACTGAGGATAAGGATAAAAGGCTCGATCCATCATGTCATAGTTTGATCGATTACAGTGAGATCGATCAGAGCTTGGGTTCAATCGATCATAGAAGGCTTCCTTCACCACTTTGCTTCCACTTTGCTTTTTTTCTTTTACTAAGCTTGAGATTGCTTCTATTAATGCACTAATTCAGCTGAATTGACTTATTTTGGGGATAAGTGCCTGAAAAAGGAAATAACACGAAATTAGACTAAAACAGAAAAATAAGATAGAATAAGGTATTAGAACATTCAAACTTAAGGGGTTTAAATGCGCACTTTTCAGCGCTCATCAAAACACCCACCCGTTATAGTAAGTACAGTGAGTTTAAAGCCTAGAAAAGAGTGCAAAATTGGAAGAGTGATAGAGGGGTTGAGTTTGAGGACCAAAAATAATTTTAATAAATAAGTTATGGGGGCATTAGTATAATTTAATCAAAATTATAGGTAATAAATACAAATAATTTTATTTTTAATTGGGGACGGATGTCCCCACCGGGCTACTCCATCCCTGGTCCCGACTAATTACCACATGACTTATCAGCAAAAACCTGATTAAAATTATGATTTTCGGGGAAAAAAAAAAAAAAAAAAAACTTTTACTCATTAAAATTAATGATTTCTAAACCATATGATTAAACTTATGATATTGGGATCATGTAATAAACAAATGTATCGTGACCACTTTTTGGTGATGCATCAGGGGACCAAGGATATGTTTCATTGCAGTCCAATGGAAATTTGTTGGATGAGCTCTTTGGGCCCTTATAGTTAACGTGGGATGTGTTCGATCCATGCATTACAAATGTTAAGTCGGCTGCCACTAATTCACAATGGGCATGGGCTCGATCCATTCTATTCCAAGCGTAAACATCTGTGCCCTAGATTTCTCGACGCTTCTGGAGGGAAATTCCATACCGTTATGGTCTGTATCGAACACTTCAACTGCCAGTTATTACTATTGTTCTAGGGTTTAGGAACAGGATTTTATTTAGATCCCTGTAAGACTTCCGCTCGAATATAATTGTGTGTGTGTGTGTGTGTGTGTATATATATATATAATATCCATGTATAACCAATCATTGGTAATAAGCTGCAAAGCTGTTCACTTTTTGATGGGTTTTTTTTAGGTGTAATTTTTTGTGTGGTTTCTTGTTTTGTTGGCGTAGGTAAGCTAAGATGGCGAAGAAGAAAGAGAAATCAATAAACGTATATGGAAAACCAAAGCATTCCCTGGACGTGAACAGAGATGGGAATGGAAACAAAGGCAACCGCAACGCCTCCACCGTCCGGAGGCTTAAGATGTACAATACGAGGCCCAAACGTGACAATAAAGGGAAGGTTTTAAAGTACGATTTGCAATCCAAGGAGCTGCCATCAACTCGAATCCAACCGGATCGCCGCTGGTTTGGTACATAACCAAAAATATATCTTGTTAATCCGAAGTGTTAAATGTTTTCATTAGTATATTATTTAAATGTTAACAGCTCAATGTTTGCTCGTGTATATATATTTATGTATACATTAATTTCTATATTTGTATATGTATTAGATGAATACAGAAATACCCAATTTTAAGTATGAAATATATAGAAACATACACACAGATTCACACCAAAATTTAGCTAGCTAGCATTTTAATGGTTTACATTTTGATAAAATTTGTGGCAACTATTGGAGCCTCTCTAGGATCCTATTTAAACAGAAACATGGTTAATAACTCATTTGATTTTTTATAAAAGTAAGATTCCTATATGTTACAAATAGAGCAAGTTCATCTACGAGTAGCCATTGCTTAGACGAAGAGGTCTTTCATAGTCATTGCCTCTTGGAAAAAGGTGGTTAGCCAACAAGTACTGAATAATAAGATTTATCCCAAGTGGCTATCCTTTAGACAGAGGTGTACTCTTCTCTTTAACTGAACGAGCATGTTTTTCTGATCTGAATGTCTTATGTTGAAAATCAGAAAGAGCTTGAACTTACTATATTTATATCATTCATTTTAATTTTTAGGCAATACTCGAGTTGTAAA